CTCGTGGCCTACTATAACAGAACTGACTCCTACCGTGGTGTTACGCCGTCTCTTTACCTGTCACAAGCAACGGACGGTTTAGTAAGACTACGACCGGTCGGTTCCTCCACTTCGCAAGTTCTCCATCGCTTTAAAAGACGACACTGGGAAATCGTACCTTGAGACTAGAAAGGACACTTCACAGCTTAGAAAATGACGTGAAAAAGTGCGATGGATAAAAGTTGAAATTTAAGCCACTGATTAGAAATCAAATACAACTAAAAATTAATTTTTATTAAAATTTTAGTCTCTTTGATTTTCAGAATATTTCAGTTATCAAACTTATTGTCAAAAGTATACAATAACAAACATCCAATTAACAAACTCATTGACAAAAGTGTAAAGTAACAAACATTAAGGCATAGTCAGGATTTTGTTTAGGGGAAGGCCAAATTAAAGTTAAAACTTTTAAACCTAAAGGGTAGAAGAGTAGTCGAGTGATATGGATTATTGGATTTGTTTTGTTTTACATTTAATTTAATCTTATATTTAAGTTTTATTTTTAATTAACTACTGGTAGATAAATCACATATATTTATTTATTTATTTGTTTTATTTTTCTCTTAAAATTATAAATTTATTCTTTGAACTGAAGAAACTTAAATTTATAATACTAGCCATCTGGAATTTTCAGCTTTTTTAAACTTTCATCTCCAATTCTTTCCCCTTTTCTAAAATTAATTTCTTGTCAACCTATTAAACATAGTCCGTTTATGCGGTTTTAGTTATTATTGTTCTTTAAGATTTGGTATGGTCCTTCTGCCCCCCCCCCCTACATCCATAGATATACTGAAATAATGTATTTATATAAATTGAAGATTTTTTTACTACAACTTGCAGAAAAGTAATATATCAAGAAATATTAGCACAAATAGATATAAAGTTTGAAAAAGCTATAAAAAAGTTAAATATAATCTTGAAACGTATTTTGTAAAAATATAATTTGTTTATCATTTAAAATATTATCAAGAAAACATCCTACTTAGAGATTTCCGACCAGTTGCAATGTAATGTTTGAACAGCCAGCATTTGATAATTTTGATAAAAATTAAATGACAGAAATTGGGTTAGGAAATACATACTAAGCTAAATAGGTTAATAAATAATCAGGAAACTCAAGCCTTATATCGATTTGTAATTTTTGTATTTTTTCATCTTGATTTCTTTTCAATGTAATTATTGGAAAGTTGATAAGATTTTAATTAGTTGGTCAATATGCGTATAGGTATAACTATAAATAGATATATTATGCATAACATTATATGCACAAAACATTCATAAAAATAAGAATATGAGGTGATAATAACATCTTAGCGATTATTCATGCAAAATTTTTAAGATTTATTTTTTGTAATTGCAACTCATAGACAACTTTCTATGTAATACAAGATAAACAATGTAACATGTGTACAAAACAATTCGTACGATTTACGAGTTGACATTCGATGTGGCAAGATAAGCAGTGGATAATTATGCAAAAAGCAGATAATACTTTATGTCATTATAATAAGAGTTTCATATTCTTTGTAGCTTTATCTTGAGCATTTTATATCTCTTTTAGAGACATTTATATATATACATATATATACGTATATATAAATGTCTCCAAAAGTCAGTTTTAATTTTTTTATAAAACATCAAATAAAAATTTTCGAAATCTGTTATAATAAATTTTTATCAATTTCATATAATGATTGTAGCATAAATTTTTGTTCTTATTATATTATATTTTTCTGTTACATTTCGAATACACTCTTAAAAGAGGAAACGTTTATTAAATATGATGCAGCGTAATATCATCGCCAAATATAATACATAAAAATTATAATATTTTGAAATTAGCAAAAATAATTGGCGGAGAAATTGGCGACTTTTGTAATTAAATTAAAATAGACACAGTGTTTTCTATTGAATTATAAATTAATTATTATGAGAATTGTCGTTGAAGGTCACGTTAATTGTTTTCCTTAGTTAAATATATTTAGTTAAAAATACCTGGATTATTATCAGTAAAGAAAGATAACGACTTGCACAACGTTTTGCGACGTCGCCAGTTAACATAATCGATCCCGCTTGTGCTAATACAAACGTCTCAAGTAACATTCGTTGTAATAAAACCCCAAACCATATCGGCGGTGTCACGCATGCTGAACGCGTTTCAGTATATTCGACGACCTGTATATCCCCTGTGGTTGCTTAACCACAAATTTTCTCGCTTCTGTCGCAACGATGATTTCACCGTGGCCGAAAGTACTCGCCATAATTATGTTCGGATCAACGCACCGACATGTTAGATTACGCTTCCTTTAATTTTTACCAAAACAATACATATGGTATGATAAGAACGAACGCAATTATCCAATGCGATCCAAACGCGTAACGCAATAATCAACTGTAAAATATATGCTGAAAAATGTATGTAGAAACGTGAAAGAAAATCCTTTTGTTGAGAAATTTTCAAGATTGTTAAAATAGATACAATAGAAATTAAATGAAAAATGAAAAAATTGATTTACTAATTCTATATTACGAAAAAAATACATTCAGTAAAAAAGTCCGACTTGGTCAGATTCATACTTTTTTCTTTTTATTACTATTAAGAATAAAAAAAGCAAATCTTCTGCAGTTATCCTCACCACATTATGCTTACAATACACTGCATTGGCGGAAAAAAATGTTTACGAAAAAGTACAAAAAAACTACATAGAGACAAGATTTAAAAAATTCTTAATTTTTCCTAGATATTTGTAGTAGGATGTAGAATGAGGTTTATTTGTCTTAGAAATTCTTAGTTTTTCGTAAATATTAGTGTACCCAGTGAGAAATCATAATGGAATTGACATCGAACCGATGTCGATTCGACGCTGAAATTATCAAAACGATGTTGAATCGATGTCGATTCAATATTAATTTTATTGTCATTTCTCACTGGGTAGAGTATCGTTGTTCGAAGACGAAGGATTTCTTGATTTTTCAAACAATCAACGCCACTTTACGTTCCACTACGAATATCTATGAAAAATTAAGAATTTCGAAGATCTTGTCCACGTAATATTTTTCGTTACCCTGACGGAAAAATTTTTAATTTTCCGTCGGGATACTTTATTTCTTCAATGTTTGGACAACCCTTACAAAAATCTGTAAATACTAGCCAGTTATATTATTGAAAGACAGTAATTACTTACTTATTTTGAGTATTAAGAGTACGAAATAACAGTGACTTTAGTATTTAAAATAAGCAATTAATTACTGTCTTTCAATATTAAATAAATTGGCCAGTATTACATTGGTGAGTATTAGATTTCTGTAAAAGAACAAATTGCTAGAAAAATGAAACTAGAGGGGAAACAATACTCATGTTTCTGTAATCGCTTCATTGTAGACAAGATATTTCTACAAGTTGATGTATGTTAAAAACAGTCTGCCATAGCAAATAACAAAAAACTGCTCGATTGCTAATGGACTTTACAGCTTCCGTGCAGATACTATTCGTTATTCGATGAGGTTGTGACAAATTTGCAACACATCTGCCACATCCGCCTTTCTCGAGCAAAGCTGTTTTTAATCATTGATCATAATGATTCGCGCCAATCCATCACTTTCGCTTGCCCGCGCCTTCACCGCGACGATGAGACTTTCAGTCCTTGCACGTCGTTGAAAGTTCATCCGCCGTTTCGTCGAGTAATTATTTACGGTTAGCGTGAGGACGACGAAAAGTGCGTGCTGGTGCGCGAAGGTGAGAATCGGAGAAAGTCGTCGCGGAGGAAATCGTTCTAAAACAAACGACATTGACGTCGGTCATAGCGAACCCCCTTTTGTCACGCAACATACCATAGAAATGATAAGGCGCGTGTGCTACTTGCGCAAAAAAATATTCCATCGTTTAATGACCGGTAATCAGTCGCGGTCCCCAACAAATCCTGTCTCCTGAAGAATGTCATGTTAGTGGTATAAATGATATAAATGATACAAATGGTACAAATGGTATAAATGATATAAATGACAAACGCTACAAATGATAATTGAATTTCCTTTTATGTCAGTAAAAATGTTCAATTATCTGACGTAATATAAGACAAACTCGGAGCAACCGTAAAATATCAACAAAATGCGATGCGTACGAATCAAGGCGACGAAATTCTGTTTAACCTGAGAAAAGGAGCTTGTTATAATTTGCCCACATCCGTCACGCATTACGAGGAATTTCACCTCGCCTGGCTACAAAGCCCCCTCATGCGGATGTGAAAACAAGTTTATTCAAACGATTATTGCCCAATGAGAAAGAAATATTATTCGAAAGCGGTATGAAGCCTGTAATCGATTCGATTTCCGTGGCGTATAGTCTACTTTCTTTTGTAATACAAGTTCAAGGTCGTTTCCAGTAAAACTCAAGGAATTATTACGTTTATTTCATGCATGCGTATAATTCTTTTTATATCATGAAAAATATGTTTTATTAAATTTTTCAATCTAAGCAATCGATAACGAGAAAGATGGAATAGGATAGGCAGAGAAGTTATGATCATTATATCTTCGCGTTATATAGAATTTTATTTTTTATGCTGTTATATCGTATTATTATAAAGATTGAAAATCTGTGTTTACAGAACATTGCTTGTATCAGCTCAGTACTCATATGTTAACACGTCATATTTTATCTTAAGTACAATTTACAGTACTGTTCAATAATTACAGAAATAATTTAAACCTATTTGCTCTATTAAATTATGACATATATTGTATATCATAATGATATATTTGATATATTTTAATATATTACAAAAGTTTACAGTAATAACTACTATGAAGAAAACGAATATATAGAATTATCTACAAACATTACATTAGACAAAAAATAAGACCTTCAGAAGTTTCAATGAATTAATACATATTTTCACACAAATAACATTTATAGTACATTTATAGTATATTTATAGTACATTTCAAATGTTGAGACGTAATCACTTGTTGAGATATCTATTCTCATCAAAGTTATCCTCAAGTTCTTCGACTATAACCATTTTAGTTTTCGGTCTACGCATTTTAAGTCTCCGCTTCTGTTCTGCCTCTGTAAGTTCCGCGAGATTCTGCGGTAGGACTATTATCTTTCGCGGCTCATGATACTCGATCTCTATACTACTCCCGTCAGAAAAAACAAGTGTTGTAGGATACGTCCGTTCGTAAACCGGTCTGTGTTTCTTCGTTATCGCTGCCGTCCAGCAATTAAAACTTCTACGCAAGACAGTCGCAGAGTTGCCAATTCGTGCGAGCGAAGTGATCATTCTGAAATAAGGAAGTATTTCTGTAGCTTACAAGGTTATTAATATTATCGAGAGAGAGAGAGAGAGAGAGAGAGAGAGAGAGAGAGAGAGAGAATACAAATTCATTTTGCATATTTGCATGATGACAAAGCGACTCTGATCAAACTCTGATTAACTTATTTGTTGATTTTATCTTATTAATCTTATATAGAGAGCTGACAGTTGATCTAGTGGACCCATTCGTTTTTTTTTTAGGAATGTCATTTTAATTTTTCGAAATTAATTAATGCCTTTTAATAAACATATATTAAATAGATCTTATGAAGCTAGTGTCAATAACTGTTACAGATTTTGGTGTTAGCCTCAGAGGGTTCGTCCAAATCATTCACAAGTATAATTTGATTATAAAATAACAATTCTAAAATAATATTGGAGATAACTTCTATAAGTTACAATTTCAAAAAGCAGTCTTATCAAAGACAATCTTTTCTTTATTTGTCATACGATAATTAAAAAAAATTATTTTCTTATGATGAATTCGATCACTCGTACTACATTGAATTAGTGCACATTAAAGGTTATTTTATGTAAATATCTGAATGCAATAGCATAATATAATAAATAAAATGATAAATATATGTCATGTATAACAATGAACTTATACATGTATATTCTGTTAAATGACAAGATAACAATATCATTATTGAATTGTTAATCATTTAAACTGTTCATATGCATTTACTTTTTCTACTAATTTAATATATAGCTGCTTTCAATATACACTAATGTAGTACAATACAAATAATTAAATTCGCTATTAGATACTTCACATTACACGAATATCATATCTGTCAACACTAACTTAAAAGTAATACAACATTAATGTCATAATTTATTAACTTCACATTTAACGATGTAACTATTATGTAAAATACATATTGTATTATATTTATATTGTTGAGTGTAAAATTATAATATTGATCTGTTATTTTTATACCTTTTATTAGCAATGTAAATTAATTTTAATATTAGTTTAATTTACTTTTTATCTTCTTTTTAGTTCTAAGAACTATGCCCATTTCTATCAATGTAGATTAACGTTGATCTCGAATCACCTTTTTTTTAATTTTTAGAACTAGAAAGAGTTGGTTGAACAAAGATTAAAATTAAACTAATTGAATTAGAAAGGGATAAAGAGAAAATTAAACTGAGATTAAAGTTAATCTACATTGATAAAAATAAATAAATGAATGAGTGTTTACATAGACAATTTTTATAGGTTATGTCATCCATGCTTGGCAATATTGAGCACAGTGACACGTTACTTATTTGATCATTCAAAGTTATCTCACGCTTATTAAATCACTGTGTTTACACTCGTAAAACAACGAGAAAATCTCACGGAGAACGATGGGACAAAGCTTACCTGCCGAGACAATCGACGAGATGAACGACTTGATGCAACGACTCGAAGCTCTGCGCAGTTGGACCATCGGGATAGTCACGTGGCGTTCAGGCGCGGTGAATGAACGGTGACGACTACTCGCGCTGCCGTACAATCGAATTGCGATTATCGAGATATGTTTGAAATGCGCGGTAATCGACGCTACCGATCCCGGCAGTCTACGCGTTTCTTTCGGTGCGGTGTACACACACGGGTGGTGGGTGCTTTTTGCGTGCAATTCGTCCTGAGAGGAGGCTCGATCGGTAGAGTTTGGCAATCGTGCGTCTCCACAAGACGGTGAAGGAGGTGCCACGACTGCCGGGAGAGACGGCGGAAGATTTAACTTGATGGGGCAAGTCAATCCTCTTCGACCTTGATTCCGATCGAGGAGCGGGAGGACGTGGATGGTTATCCACGTCCTCCTCTCGCGAGACGCAAATGGGATATCGTGCGTGTGCCGTACGACGAAGAGAGGAGGGTGCGTTGCGACGAGCGGTACTCTTAAGCGTTCTGACAGGGGGACGATGATTTTGCGATGCGATAAGCGACTTTTCGTATTTTCATGCGCTGCACGCGCCCTCGGGCTCCTCCTGGCAATGGCCGGGCAGCTCGGCATAGTCCGCGCGATTCCTGCAAGGAAAGGAATTGCGACACATTTTTTTAAGCAGATTGAGAGTGGCGAGCGGCGATCACGGAGATTCGTCATCTCCCGGCACGCTCGGGAAGAGGGATGGGAGAGAGCGTAAAATCTTTCAAATATCGTTAAAACAAAGTGTGTTAAGCTGATTAGTAGAATTAGTAGAGTTAATGAACTGGGGGTCGATTTTTAACTAGGGTTTTTTAACTAGGGACCCTTTGATCAGAGACTGCTTTCCTTTTAGAAAGCACAGTTGGCACAAATATCGTTCTATCCTTCTTCGATGTTATGTATCAAAGAAGCAATAATAATCCAATTCCTTGAATTAAAATAATTTATTGTTATTTTTAACTTCCACACGTGTGTCAAAATTAATCAATTTCTGTAGTTAGTTTCAAAGTAACCAACATCTATATTAACGTATGCACTTAGTAAATAATAAATTAAATTATTAATAAATCATATGTAATAAATTTGAATCAAATTTAATTACACAATACAACATTTCTTTGAGTTAAGGCTATCACACATAAAAGTTTTAAGATGTCGCCAATCATGGTCGAGCAGTCTAAAGCGTAAGATCGCACTTTTGCTATGATAGGCAGATTTGTTTACTTTACAGTTACGGCTAAAGTTTTTTTTTACGTTTGATCATGGTGGAAGAAGATAGGTGAAACAATTTAAATACGTAGTAGTCGATTTGATTACAGTCAATCAGAATTTGTCCTAAGAATTTAAAAAGCAATAGGATAAAATTAAATTGGACAGAATATTGAATCTAGGACAGAATTTGATTTACGTTTGCTAGTCTTTAAATTGTTTAACTCTCTTTATTGTATTAAATTAACAATATATTGAATAAGAGCAGTGGCGATCTATAAAAATGTTTACAAATAACTCAAATTATATAGATATAGTCCGACATTATAAATTTACCAGTGTTGGTATTCATTGAATAACACATTGAATAACAGATAAGATGATATTTGTGTCGACTGTCTTCTAAAGGAAAACAATTATAGTCTGGTCATGAGATAGCATACATATCATTGGTCTAACATTTTTTGTTAAATCGCGTTAGTCAGCGCGAGATAGCACGTATCTTTTTTTTCTCTCGCATCATTGCAGAATGAGATAAAACATATCAGTCGATTTTTTATCAAAAATGTTAGACCTCTTGTCATGGCCAAATTTTGATTAGAAGGTCTCTATTTTTAGCTAGTGTACTGCAAAAGATCTCCAAATATGCTGCGAAAATTCTAAAAAATGTAAAAAGAAGCAAAAAAGCGAATGAGGTGCTAAGTAAAAAGTATTTTAAAAATTGTGTGAAAACTATCTAAATTATATCATTTACTCTTATTTTAATCAACGCTAATCGCGCGTCCTTACCAACTTTTAATACAATAAAATACAAAATAAAATAAAACATTAGAACTTCACTTTTTATTTCTGCATGTTGTTTTGACAGTATTTGATAAAAATATATATGCTAAGCGTTAAAGCGTTTGTACCTAACATTGTACGTCGACGAATTTGATTCATTATTTAATGCGAATTGAAAAAAGTTGAAAAACCTTAAAAATTACAAAAGTAAGCAAAATTCACTAGGTGCATTGACCAATACAATTATAAATATTCTAGTGAATTTGTTTATAATTTTTTATAATTTTCATATCATTTCAAGATACGTAATCCCTGGATTAATCTGGGAATCAAAGTGGCCAATTCCTACTGGCAGTAAAAAGGGAGAGAGTTCCGGATGGGCAACTTCACTTATTTTTATTTTATCGTTACAGTTCGTTTAAAAGATATGTACAAGAAACTTTCGTCTGCATATACATATTCATAATCATTCGACATGAATAGTTGTTACCTCGATTATTACACATTCAAATAAAATAGCGTTATCTGAAAAGAATTTTAATCCCTCTCTGTTCCTCAAAAACCCCTCGCATTAATTTCGCGATTAATTAAACTCCTGTCGTGAAACTTTTCAATCGATTCATTTATTTATCTCGGGGATAACAAACGTTACATAAAAAAATAACGGGGCTATTTACCGATGAAACCTTTCAGATATTATTGTTATGCATTCGAAACGAGAAAATGAAGATATCCCAAGCAGCATCATGTCCAAAATCGGGATATATCTTAAAAACGTCATCAAGTCGTTTTTTATAATTGCCACTACTATGTCTTGTACACAAATAAACAAACCATTTTATAATTATTGCAATATATAAAATAGTTTATTCAATAGTATATTCACTTACATATATTAATTTATTCAACTATATACATTAATTCTACATATAAAACTTGTATAGTTATTATCTTCATAGTTGCAACCTCTGTATCTTTCTCTAAGCATGAACATTATATCACAAAAGTCTTAAAAAACTTTAAGATGTTTTATGTTCCGATTGTGGACATGTGCTATCTGAGATAGATGTTTAGTCCCGAGTTAATGAAAATAAGATCACACAATTTCACACATTCGACACGGAATGGCACGCACAAAATCGTATTTGGCACCCAAATCTATTCGGACGATTATTCTCCCAAGTTATAGCTATAAAATCGCCGCATTTTTTTTACCACCGTGCAATTTACAAAACTTACAATTAAATCTTTTTAATGCATAATACAACAATAATAATAATAAACGCGGAACATGCCTCATGCGAATGATCAACCTTTTTTACATTTATCTTACGGCAATCAAATAAAATATAACGTTATACAATACTGGGGATATAGTATAACGTGTCAATATCACATTAGTATTTAAAATATCATCTGTAATTATCTCGGGTGGGGATTTAGTTTGATGCGTAATGAACAAATGGGACCGTGTGAAAATAATGAAACTTCGTGTCGAGATAAATATTGGCTCCATGAAATATTATTTTTATTATAACAACGTCAATAATAATAATTTATTGTAACGTTAATAGAATTCTGATTTTTTAACAAAAATTTAACTACGTTGAAAAAATCTTTCAACATCCATATACTATTTTCTTTTTAAATATAGTGTTTTTATTTTATATTTAATGTAAACTACTAAATACGATTCTTTATTTTATATAATATATTTGATAAATATTATAAAAAATACGTCATTTATTTGTGCAAAACTTCCGTAAGATTGCATCATTCACCTCTTATTTTTACGATACTGTTCCAATTCAATGTTAGAATTATTTTTTACAGTAGATAGTAATTTGTACTATCTTCTTAATTTAAATACCTTTAACAAAAAATTATATTTAAAATAATGTTTAGAAAAAATATAAATATTTTCTGTCATAGCTATGATATTAATTCATATATGTTTCGACTTAAAATTAAATAAAATTTATTAATAAAAATTATAAAAATAAAAATTATTTATATTGCAGATATACGCAATATACATATCTTTTACTTATATAATTTTTTAAAAACATATTCTTTACGAAATATTTTCACAAATATCAATACTGAGAAGAAAAAAGAATATATAAAAATTTGCATATCTTTTGATATCGCGCATGCTGATATATATTCGTTTTGTACACATTTTAAATTCTATCACTTTATATTCTATCTATTACATCCTATATACATAATAATGATAAATGAGAAAATTCGTGCAAAGATTTATATGAATATATAAAACATCTATATAAAATATAGATCAGGAAAAGATTTTAAGGAAGGGAAATTAAGTCCTCGTCGAAGAGTCGCTATATTCTGCTATTCAGGTCAATCATCTTCTCATCGTTATGTCTGTAAAATTAAAGTCTTGCTCTACGTCATATCTATAATTACGTAGCTCACTAAATAAGTAACACGAAATAGCATACATATATATGCGATTAAAGAAATTCAATCATAAATAGGTATTCTATTCTCGTATTAATGTTCAACATACTATCTCTCATTGTGTATAATATTTATACAATTAAATGTAATTAGAATAATACGAATAATGAAGTATCGAAGTCCGCTGTTATATTAATAGTTAATAAAATCATGCAATTAATAATGCTTATTAACCATCAAAAGTGCAACACAAAAAAAGATCAGTCAACATCTTCCATATACATGAAATCTTAATACATAATCATTAGATCTTATACAAAAGCTTAATTCGCAAAGTATTATTTTTATATTATTATTAGCATAGGTTCAGGATTTCTAAAAAAGTTATTCGATAAAAAAGATTGGATGCAAAGCGCAAGCAATATTAAAGCATGCATGTATACATACCTGTACAGAACATAGTGCTGAATTAAGAAAAATACATCAAACGCCACAGAAAAGAATCCAAGACCGAATTTGGTTGGGTCTCCAAAAATACTCTCCCAATCATCTGAGATAACAATTTATGACGTTAATATCTTATAAACATTAGTTTACGCATTCTACATACAAGAAAGTAATCTAGTTGTACATTTGTATGTTTACCATAGTTATAAGCGTTGAGTATCATCTGTAGCATTGATAAAATGCCACCCGTAAAATCTAAAAATACATTTCCTATACTCCAGCCGACAGTGGACTTCCTTCTATAATTGTAAAATGCTTGCGGTACGTATTTAATAAGCGTTACGCTGAGCTTAACGTAGCTACAGTAGTAGAGAAAATCTAGCCATTGGATTGTCTTCACGAAAGATAATATCAAAGATATTAGTATAAAAATCGCAAATATCCCATGGATAAAACGTGCAGTCGTTGATACTCTCTGATTACCTGTCTGAAGTAAAAATAAATACGATTGAATTACAATTTCTACAAATAGCTACTTTAAAGGGATCCTAAAGTCGTCTATATTACCGACTAAATCATATAATTTTTGTATAACAAATACTTTTTTCTCGCGTTAATACATGTCTGTGAGGTGGAGTTTATGCCAAGAACAATCAAAAATTTCGAAATTGATATATTTTTTACCATTTCTTAGTGTAACATGGCGTCTCAAGCTGTTAAGTCGTGATAACATTTGCTTGATACGGAAGTTTTGCAACCTGTACTTACGAAATCCACAGACACGTAGTTTGCACGAATAAATAATGTCGAGTTCTGAGAATTAGACTTAGATGCTTTATCGCGATGAATTTGTTATACGAAAATTGACACGAACGTGCGACTGCGTGTACCATAGGTTGCGTGAGATACTGGTATGGTAGTATATAAAGATATGTCGATGCGCTGGACAAACAACAATCTCTGGTGATTTTAGGCTTCACTTTAGGATCCTCTTAAATATATGCTGTCTTGATGTTTAGTTACCTCATGAATAAAACATTGTCCGATAACTATTATACTAGCAAATACTGCATGTAACGAAAAAAATATATCATTGATTTGTACAGGATTCAAGCCTTTTGGATATCGTTCGAAATATTCTTTCTGAAAATATTTTAATAAATTAATTGATCGTCATAATACGCGCATTTTTATTTCACATTCGTACTAAAAATTATTTATTTATAAAAATATCTCAATGTTAGCGCTCTCTCTCTCTCTCTCTCTCTCTCTCTTATTTCATTGCAAGATATAGAAACAAATGGCAATGTCTTACCTCAATCTCAGGTATCCAGTACAGGCCACAATTGAACAGTGCGTACATAAGAAAACCGACAAGATTTAGTGACACGTAATCAAAATTAAGACCCACAACACTTTTACGTTTATAATTAATATAGATTTGTGGATAGAAGCTTACACTCCATGCTAAAAAATATATCCATCCAACCACAGCACTGATATGATATAATGTATTTGATTTCTCTATTGTTACTCTAACAAACGCTTGGGAGAAACTAAAAAGAGATATACAGATATATTTTTGGATATACTGTTAAAATATTATTTTTAAAAATATGTTAAATAAAAATAACAGAAATAGAATTTGCTCACTTTAAATCGATATTATGTAACTGATCTCGCGGTATAATAATAATTTTATACATAGACATTTTTCAACATGAAAAATGATAATAATTGCTTTGATAATAATTAAAAATTTCGAGGTAAATTTATTTCATACAACACTTTCTAAAAACTGATTTTTTTAAAAGTACCAATAAGTTTAAATAATAAAGTAGCATTGTGATTCCGGTAGCAAAATTTGCAGATATTTTATCACTGATATATATTTAATAACTTTCACTTATCAGTATTACAAAAAAATATTAAAATTATTTATAAATAAATTATAAAAAAAAGTTATATATAAAATTATTTAGACGTGGTAATTATTAGACACTGCAATTGAATTACGAAATAATCTGTTCAACATCTGGAGACAGACTAACGAAACTGTATGTTACAGCTTGGTTGACAAGTTTAGGTCAAGAGGCTATCTGAGCAATCTTAGCTAGCAATCTTAGTGCAATGGAACGTGAATTTTCCACACTTTTGAATCTTTTCAGAATTAGTCACGAAGATAGGGAGGGAACGAAAGCATCAGTGTCATAGGTCTCTATTCCCCACTGTTTATTGTTTCACAATACTTGATTATGAATGTTTATAGCAAATGATAAATACACGTTCGTAATCAACTGTTATTTAAAATATCAACAGCCGATTGAAACGTTTAATCAAAATATAAAAAAAAAAGAGCTCGTAAAATTTCTATAAAACATTTCTATACTTACTCCGTAATATCACTAGGGGTTACATTAGCGCTAACAATCAAATGACCTGCGCCCAGGCCTTTAACATAAATAACCCATTCTGTTTTTGAGTCCCTCGGTGTAATAGAAAAGTTTGATGGGTTTATAGATAGCAGATCAGGATGCTGTACATCTATCGTAACGACTGCAGTTCTGCTATCAGGTTCTAACGGTTCCCTGCAAAGTAAGATGTGGCTAGTAAAAAATCTCATTTTTAGTATGTACGCATGGTTGCAATTCTGAAGCACACACTGACATGAGCCTATCATTCAAGCCATTCAAGCTATCATTGATTTATCATTCTGTAATTGAATGATAAAGTATAAAGTCCGAAAACAATGTTACATTTTAACGTCATTAGATGTCTGTTGTTATCAGTTTTAGAGCATAAAAGGAGATAAAACGAATTCTATCGCCATGGCACGCTTAGATTAACTAATATAAGCTTAATGTGGGTGAAGGTGATAGAACACAAATATATTAATTTTAAAGCACTTTTTATCATGCATATATACAACAAAGGTTTCTACTAATGTAAACTTAATTTACACTCACAGATATAAGTAACAACTATGGGTGTTTTCCAGCAAGAGACAGAAAACAATGTAAGGTCCCAAACTAATGAAAAGCACAGGCAATAGAAACAAGGCAATAAATTCCCATATAGCACAGATCATTCCAGCAATATTGCAGCAACACTACAAATGTTACAGCAATATTGCTGCAAGATTCTGTACTGTGTATGGATTTCGACCTATCAGAAATTGTGTATCAATACAGCATAAAATTTATTGTCTGTGTGTAATTTCCTGTTGCTATTGTCTGTGCTTTTTATTGTGTTTGGATCTTAATAGAATGAATTGTTACATCCTTGTTATTTGATAAAAATATTAAATAAAGATGAAATAATTCATGAGTTATGCCATTTGTATCTCTTGCTGGAAAGTACCCTATATCAGCACTGTCAACACATACATGTCCCTAAAAGCAATACAACAGCTCATATTACAACTTCCAATAGCCAATAAAATCTAAGTACTCGACGATATCCACAGTGCAATCCAATGTAATAGCTCAAGTTAGCGACTCATAACAAGCTACTCACGTCAGTGATAAGTTGAACGAGCTCCGCTGATTGAGTTGTACTTTTAAATCCTGCGTTGATGCTCTAAGGTCTCCCTGAACGCATGTCAAAACTGTAAATATGAACGACATGTATAGTAACGAAAATGAAAACATTCCCACTAAACACAAACTAATAGTAATATTACATCAATTATTATAATTTCCTATTTAACTATATGGACCGTATTCTAAAATTTACTACCAATAATGAAGATCTGAAATGCAAGTATAGATTTTTCAGCGATGGCAGTGAATTTTAGTACATGAATATAACATATGTTGTACATAACAATTATATGACTGTGTAATTGTTATGTACAACATATGTTATATTGATATTTATATTGATGAGTGGTAAATTATAATATTGTCATGTAATGTTAAATATTTATATTGACGAATGGGAAACTATAAAACTATAATAATGGAAAACTATAAAATTATAAATTATATGATTCTACATATTTATATTAATGAATGAAAGATTATAACATTATGATGTAATGTTGCTATTACATTTTTTGTGTTCAGCGGGTTGTATATACTTCTCTATGTTTCTTTCTTGATCTCACCTGGTAGTAACAAGACCCACGAGTATCGCAACAAAGCCATATTGCACGATAACTGAAACAAGACAACGTACCACGTTTAGGTTGGTATTATCGCACTTCAATGAGGTAGCAGTTAATGCAGTTATCGATTCAAGAATGCCATTGTCATCGCGCTCTTTCGCGGCGTCCAGCTCGGGGGGGGGGGGGCCCCCCGCCGATGGCACGAACGCAGCAAGCATGTGGAGAACGGCGGGTTTAACCTCAAAATGCGCAAGGGCATCACGGCAATTCGTGCTTTACGATAACATTTTACGCGCTGTGGCATTTCGTTACAAGTGCCACTTGTCGATAATCTCGATGATTGGTAAATCGTTTCGGATCTTCGCGGATATCTTAAATTTTGGCGGCTATCAGAGCGTCAAACAATGACGACGATGTCGACGAGTGCTGTTCGTTATCGTAGATATCATTTCACGAGTGTTCTCCGTTGTAAGAATATTAGGACGATGGCAATAAACGCGAACGCGACGTTTGGCACCGATCTCGATAAGTTCTCGCAGTTAAGAATAGTTAAAAAAGCGATAAGGAGTAACGGAATGCGACGTCAACAATGAGCACGTGACCCACGACGCGCCACCGCGCCACAGCTGCCACTTGCCAGCTGGAGTGACATTTGGCGGCAAGATTCGCACTCTCGCAGGGATGATTGATATGTAATCATTTGGGTTTAATGAATCCACATTGAAAAAAGACACACATACATATGCACATAATATGTTTTTGTAAGAAATAATGGAGTGAATGATCGAAAGAAAGATAGAAGCAAAATATAATATATATATATATATAAATATATATATATGTACATATAATTATGTAATTATAGCTTTAAAAAATTAAAGGAAATAAAGCTATTGCTTAAAGAAATAGTTGTTTAATCTAAATGCAAATATAGTAAATATTTATATATTTACTATATATTTGTTGTATATTTAGTATAGAAACTTAGCGTAATAAAATATTTTTTTTTAAATTTAATAAAAAGGAATTATTAAGGCTCATTATTTAGGCTCGATTACATTAACGTTACTTTGATTTTAAGCAAGGTTTAAAACTCTCTTTGTCTCTGTCTCTTTTTCGGCTTTAAAACGAGACAGAGAGTTTTAAATCTCGCTTAAAGTCAAAGTAACATTGGTGCAACCGGGCCTAAATAATGAGAATATACATTCAAAAAAATACAAACATATATTCGTAGGACAATATAATGTCCAGCTTGCAATCGATTATAATTTCTTATCGTTCTTTCTTAGTTTTCTAGAGAAATGAGTCGCAATTTGTACATATTGTATATAATATTAGAAGTAACGTTAATTTTGCATAACTATCAGACGGCGTTGTGCAAATCCTTATAAATAAGTAATGAAACAATAGAAATTCTATAGACTCTAATGAATTAAATCAATTAGGAATAAATAAGTCTTTGAGAGCCAATCCTGGATGCGATTGCAATGAGTTTCATTGTATATAATAATTAAATAAAAACGTTTTGATCCTTGATTTTGATTTGCTCTTCAGCAAATACATTGATGAATAACTAAAATATATACAAAGATTGTCGTTAATTACACTCAGGAAATTAGATTGTGTTATGGTACTTACAAAATATTGTTCGTCTTAATGTGAATTATGGATAAAGTCTATTCGCATTCATATATCAAAATTGTCCATTAAATTTCCAAGTTTACTAGATAATGAGTTACGTCAAAGGTATAAATATTTAATAAATAAGATTGAAATTAGACTGATGGTATTTTATTAAAAATTTATAATGTGGATGTTTGAAGATTGACATATTATGCGATGTTGACAACGCGCTTGTTATGAATCTACTGAGAACGTTTGTCACGCAATAACACAAATAGACCTTCAATAAAACTGGAAGAGAGGGAAGCATCAATTTTTAGAATTTAAAATAGCATATGTTTATTCTGTATCATTTTGTACGTTAAGGTCATTTTTCTGTTTATGTATGTAAATCATTTCTGCTGTTAGTCGTTTGTTTATTCTCCCATATTCTCCCATATTCTCCAATATTCTCCCAATCGAAATCATATGCAAATTCCAATCTATGTGCCGTAATGATCGAGAGTGTTGTGTTGTTTTCCAATTAATATGGTCCCTATGCTTCTTAATAAATAAGTAATAATAATCCAGGAAAAAATGTTATATATTATATATAGACATATTTTATATATAATTGTATATATATATATATATATAAAGTTGTTAATTTTTAATATAATTATATACAATTTTATATAATTATATATAATTATATAAAATTGTATATAATTATATTAAAAATTAACAACTTTATATATATATATATATATAAAGTTGTTAATTTTTAATATAATTATATACAATTTTATATAATTATATATAATTATATAAGAAACATTTTTTCCCGGGAAGAGAACTTTACAAAAATTATGAAACGTGATAACATTCATATTAGAATTTAGAATTATTTCATATGTATATATGACATCAATAATTCTTTTCTTAATCGATAATGAATTTATTCTATCTCATTTCGTGAATCTTAATAAATTTTTTTTCTTTTTATTTTTCTTTTTATTTTACTATTGTTTTGCTTTAAATTCTTCTGCTTCTTTAATGCCATATTATTAGTTTAAAATTTCGAATAATCTTTTATTTTTATCATTGTAAAGTGCGTGACGCTCCCACGGTAACTGCTTGCATTGAAAATAGCGAAGAACTTTATTCAAAGAGAAATTTTCACAGCGCCGACAATATAAAAAAGTCCATATTTACTCATTATTTTCTTAAAAGCAAGAGAAGCATTTCCATGCAAGACTCCTCGACAGAGAATTTCCAATCATAAAAAATTTCCTTCTTTTCATTCAAGTGTATGTGTGCGTTTCATCGAAAGCTATTTGTATTATCTTTATTAATCTTTACAGAAATCTAATATTGGTCGATTTAATACTTCCAGTAATAAATACAATTTATTACCAGAAAACAGTAACTAATTACTTATTTAAGTACTAGAAGTACTGAACACAACAGTGTTTTTAATATTTAAAATAAGTAATTAATTATTATCTTTCAATATTGACCAGTATTAGATTTCTATAAATAACTGTAAGAGAATACAATGTACGTTTAAACATAAAAATATTGAAATTTTTTAGCATCTGAAGATAACTTTTCTAAGAATCATTCGGATAATTGTTTCAGGCGTGTAAAAACATGACTTTTGTATTGCGTGCACAAAAAAGTTTCATTACGGAAAGTACGATTTTGCTGAAGTATCTAAAAATTTAGCTAGATACAGTTCTAAAAATAATTTTGTTGGACTATAAAAATAATTAGGGTAACTCCGGTATATACGCCGCGGAAGTCAGAAAAAATAGAAGGAGTAGGGGTAATTTTCTCGCAACTACTCTATTACATGCGTTTATGTTATATTGAGTTATAATTTCAGCTTCTTACTGTTAATATTAATGAAATTATTGTGAGTTGAATCGATTTGTCACTGTAACAAGTAGCATCATCATAAATTATAATCTACATAAAATGATTACTGTAAAGCGTGTAAAAGACCTAGTGGTTATTTCGTGATACATACGTGTAGAGGAATAATAAAGCATGTTGTATAGCAAAATATAAGTGCTTTGCTTTCATATTCATTGTTTAGTTTGTTGAACCCTTGCATTTTTGCCTTATATCCCACCCATTATCTATATATGTATAGCAAAAATGCAAGATTTCAAAAAGTTTATTTTTTAATACGAAAACTAAATATTTCGGATTTCTAATACTTTTTTCATAGTAGTAGACAGTACAAAGTTTTTACGATATAGTTCGTTTATTAAACATAGTAAATAATACTTAATAAATTAAGTTTTTGGTAGGTGCGGCGTATATACCGGAGTTACCCTATGTAGAAAATTTAAGCATGATGAGCAATTCTACAAAAAGTTCTGATATTCTAATAATTATAGTGTCCTGCAAAATTATTTTAATGGTCCAACGAAGTTATTATTAGATTTGTATCTTACTAAATTTTTATAGATACTTCAGTAAAATTATCCTCTCCATGTTTAATTCATTTAATGATATATAGACGAAGAAAGAAAATTTAACTAATTTTAACAATCGATCCTAATTAACGCAATTAATTAAACGCCCAAGGGTCATTTCACTGATAGATTTGATCATTTAAATGTTTCCCATCCCTTTCGCTGTAGATCAAAGAACGAAAATTCGGTTGAATTTCGTGTGCTAGTGTCAATTCAGACGATTTCGTTCACTATTTCCGTTCAGCAGGTCCATTCGCTTTTTTTTCCTGTTTTCGCACTTACAATTAGTGCTTAGTCGATGATAATCTTAACACATGCTTTAGTGGGTCAAATCTCGGTAAAGTTCCATCGAGATTGCGAAAAGGCCAGCTGTATTTCAAAGAACAGGAAAAAAAAGATAGGAGTATGATAAAGATTGCGCGAGAGAAGAGAAAGGAGAGAAGAAGAGAGAATAATATGTCGAACGCGGTACCGAGTGACAAAGACAAACGAGATTCACTTTGACGTGCCACAGGAAATTCGTATGATAGAAGTGATGAAAAGAAAGATGGATTTTAGCGAAAGAGACAACAGGGTTTGACGCTAATACTAAAATAAGCCGGATTACACGGAAATCAATAAATCGAGTAATTCTCTTTACAGCGTAATCTAATCGAGAGAACGTTTTTTTTTATCGGAATGCTCACATTCGGCATATTTCCGATATCTCGCTCTCGTGTAATTCTTTTTTTTTACTCACTACATTTTTATTCGTAAAATCGTATTTTATATTAACATTGTCATGTTTCTACTTTATTACATGTAGCAAGAGTAAATATGCTTTTATGAAATTTTTGTATGTGTACGTACTGATTCGTTATGTGAAATGTATTTTCTACTGTGGACCACACGACTGAAAGAACTTGAAAAATGTTCTAGAACATACCGACGAGAGAGAGAGAGAGAGAGAGAGAGAGAGAGAGAGAACAGGGTAGAATTTTTATTTTTGATATCTAACTCTGTGAATCCATTCGAGCCGAGATATGTGCACGTAATGCGCAAAAAAGAAATATAAAAAAAAACGTAACTCCACGTCGTAAAAGATCCTAATTAGAACCGAATTAAAGGGACAGTATTTCATAAAAATAAAGCAGAAACGCATGGGGGCATGAGGGATAAAAATATAACCGCTCATTTATTTCGCATTTAGGTAAATTCGTTTAATAGCGATTATTATACTGTGAATTTAATTAAGCACGAAAATAGCAAACAATTTTTTGCCTCGCAAGTATTGGGAAGTACTTTTTACTTTTTTTGTTAATAATGTTACCTCCGCATACGTACTGTTGCGTGTTATTCCTTAATTTATATTGCGATATCGCGAACGATTTGCACGCATTAAAATCTAGGCGGTCGAGTATAATAACAATTATCATAAATTAAATATTAAATATCGAATGAGGCTATTGGATCGACTTAATGCCCGTTTCATGCTAATTCTTATCGTAGTCAATTACTTAATCGCTCGTATTCCA